TCTAGAGGTTCCTTTGTAATCTCTCCTCTCTGTCTCTCTCTAGAAACTCACCCTCTTCTCTTGGGTTTAAGAACCCCGGTCTAGAATTTGGTTTGTTTTTTATATATGTGACAAAATCCCTAGTTTGATTGTTGATTTTACTGAATTGGTGGATGTTTTCTTGAATGGCATGAGTGTGGTTTTCATTTTCATGCTTTGAGCTTTTGACCTAGGACTGGGATAATCCCCTTAGGAAACTGTCATTCCTCCCTTCTCACGGACCAACTGGGTTGGGCTCACCCATTGGCTATCCGAGATAGGGTAGATAATTCCGGCATCCAGCAACTTGATCACTTCTGCTTTCACTACTTCTTCCAGATTAGGATTCACTTGCCTCTGCGGTTGCCGAACCGGTTTGGCCCCCTCCTCTAGGTGGATCTTGTGTGAACAACAGTTTGGCCCAATTCCCCGGATGTCTGTGATCTTCCAAGCTATTGCACTCTCGTGACGCCTGAGGACATCAATCAATTCTACCTTCTGCTCGGGTGTAAGATTGCCGTTGATGATGACTGGAAGCTTCCCATCATCCCTTAAAAAGGCGTACTCGAGGTGAGTAAGTAGCGGTTTCCGTTCCAACTCGGGGGGTTCCTCTAAAGAGGTAGGGATTTTCGGCATTGAGGGTAATGCCTCCACTTCTTGGTCTTGCAGGGGCTGGCTAACATCCTCCTGGGAGTTTGGGGCGTCTGTTCCTACCAAACAACACTCCTCAAAAGGGTCAGTAGTAAGGGCACCCGTAGATGCGAGTGCCTCCATGAATTCAAAAACCTTTTTGCAGTAATCAAAATCATCATGGCAACGAGATAACTTCATGCTATCATCAATGGAGAATGTGACCTCCTATTCTCCTGCCCTAAGCACCAGCCTACATCCATGCATATCAATCAAGGCCTTGGCGGTGGCTAAGAAAGGCCTCCCCAAGATGAGGGGACCTCAACTTTCTCATCAATGTCTAAGATGACAAAGTACACAGAAAACACGAGAGGTCCTGCTTTAATGAGCAAGTCCTCCACAACACCTTTAGGCCGCACTACAGACCTATCTGCCAACTAAATATGCATCCTAGTGGCTCTAAGTTCTCCTAGTTCTAACTTTTGAAACAACTTATAGGGCATCACATTAATGCTAGATCCTAGGTCCGCCAAGGACTTTCCTATGCATACGTCACCAATGAAGCAAGGGATAGTGAAACTCCCCTGGATCTTCGCGTTTCGGGGGCATGTGGTTCTGCACGAGGGCAGAGCATTCCTCATTCAAGCTCACAGTGGCCACCCCCTCAAGCTTCTTCTTGTTGGTGAGGAGGTCTTTCAGGTGTTTAGCGTACTTGGGCATTTGGGTGATGGCCTCCAGGAAGGGAATGTTCAAATGAAACTGGTTCATCAACTCCATGAAGTGGGAGAACTCTACTGCCATGTGGTCGTTGCGAAGCCGTGAAGGATAAGGGAGAGTTGGGGTCGTTTTCCTCTTTTCTTGCTCCGGTTGAGGGGTCAGAGTGATATCCTTTTCTTGAGAGGTCGGTTTAGGGGTCGTAGAGTCGAGGTCCCTGTCACTTGGGGCTTTCGGCTGCGAGGGGAGGTTGTCGTCCCCTTGTTGCTCCTCTGTTGCGAGTTGTTTCTTCTTAGGGGGTAGCTCCTTGGCCTATTTTCCACTTTGAAGAGTCACGACTACCACATCAAATTCGTCGACTGAATTCCAAGACTGAGCCGCCTGCGAGATACCCCTTATGCTTGTGGCCAGGTTGATCAAGTGAGTTTCCTGCCTCTCCAACCCCGCCTCAATGGTCGAGAACTTCTCTGTTGCCTCTCCAATGAATTTGTCGATTCTTTCAAACTTTTTGGAGCTGGAGGCGACAAAGCTCATCACCATCTCCTCAAGGCGGGTCATCCAGTGGTACTCTACGTCCTCATGGTTCCAACTTCCACCCCACTCCATAGGTGTTGCTACCCCGCTTACATGCCCTTTATCCTCAAGCATCACCCTGATCAACTGATCTAACTTCGCTTCAAGTGGGGTCATACAGCTTCCCATCAAAGTCGGGGCTTCTTAGGAGTCTGAGAGCCGGGTTTATACCCTCCTCAAGTGGTAGTAAGGGTGTCGGGTTGCTCAGGGTCATGCACCACCTACGCACAATTGGAAAACACCAAGTCTAGCACAAGCAAAGACCACATACACTTGCAAAACTGGAAATTAAAAGCTAGATTAACAACCAACAACTTTTTCCGAATAACAGACCGTAGTCCCCAGCAAGCGCGATAAAAACTTGACTCGCACGAAACTACACCACAATTAAACCCCAATTAGAGCCCAAGTTTTTAAACTCTAATCGGGTGCAGTATATGGCAAGTATTTAGACATCGACCCGGGCCGGTCCGTCTATCCCTACTTCCATTGTTGAAATCATTATCTAGAAACTAAACTTTGGTTTAAAAGGTTTGCTAATTGAAGTAAAAGAAAACAAAGGTGATTGGGTTTGAAAACTCTTTTGTGTGAAAGTCACTCGGGTTTTGCTTCCCCCTAACCGCTACCATGCTATGTGGATTGGAACGATTGCCTTGAGCACGTTAATCGTGAACCGCAGAGGAATGCATATGTGGTTGGAGACCATAGTCTCAATTGCTAAACCGAGGTGAGGATGAAAGGCCGTGTCACTCGACCCTCTCGGTTTAGACAATCGGTAATTGACTTACTCCCTCACTCAACTCTAAGGTTGGACAGTTTAACCATGATTAATCGACTTGTTTAATTCAATATTGAGGGTTGCCATAACTCAACCTAGTTTAGGTGGCTTAGAAAGCGGAAGGAAAACCAACTCGATTGAGGGCATGTTTGGAAGTTAGGATTCTCTAAATTGATGTATTTAATCAATGTATGTATTATAATTAGATGCATTGTTTCAATGTATGAATTTGAAAAATACATTATTTGGAGATTGAATGATTTTGGTGGTCCCTCAAAGAATAAGGAACAAAAAGTAAGACAACAATCCCTCAAACACAATCTCTGCTAAAAGTTGAGATTGACAATCATTCATAATGGATGATTCTGGTGGGCCCATCTGCTGTTCAAATACAAGCATTCTGTTTCATTTTAAGCCAAAAAAAACAATGAATTCTTCTGATTACATGTATTGGCTAAATACATCATCTGAAATCCCAACTTCCAAACGAGCCCTGAGTCTCCCTTGAAAGAGGGATTTTCCTCTCTAAACTAGGCTAAGGTGGCAAATTAGATTACTAGCACCTAAATGCACAAACTTAGGGGTGGTAAGCACAATTATGAACAATCCCTAGGATGCTAAGCACAAAACTTGCACAACCCCTAAGTTGCTAAGCACACGCATGCACAATCATGGTGAATAATGTGTCAAACATTGAATTGAACAATACCCAATAACAATCATCCAAACCACATACAAAAAAACTACATGGTAGAGTTAGGGTTTCACTACATCCAAGTGAAAGGAGGTCTACTCCATGGTAGAAGTGGGAAGAACAAAAGGGAAAAGGTGGAAATCTTTGGGGATGCCTCCTCTCTTCTTGACCCTTGAGTTGAGCTTTCCTTACGGAAATCTTCCCAAAAGTCTGCCTTGAAGCCAAACCCTAACCTTCTTCTTCCCTTTGGTTCTGTTTCTCTCACTAGAAGGCTGAACTAGGTGTTTCTCACAAAAGTTGGCTCTCCCCTCTCTCCTCCTTTCAGCTCAGCTTTTTAACTCGAGAAGAGCTGAGTTCACGGCCGTGAACCATCAAATGCGTCCGTTAACTCAAGGTGTGCGCCAAAACGCTCCGCATCGCTCACGTCCGTTCACGGGCCACTGCTTGTGTTCACGGTCTTAGTGACCGTGAACTCACCTTGCGTCAGTAACCTTCACATTGGCTCTGGATGCCTCGCGATTCACGGTCAAGTCCCCTTCTTCACGGTCTTGCATGACCGCGAACTCCTTCAGTTAACCGTGAACTGGCGCTTTTTCACCTCTTCTCCCAGTTTTTTATCCTTTTTGCCAATCTTTCGAGTCCGAGGCTTGTTTTACCTGTTAAAACCTGAAACACACTCAAACACGAAGAACCCAACGTAAAACCGACCTTTAAGGAGCGAATTTGGCACAAACACCTAAGTAAAACGAGGGCAAAACATGTGCAATTAGGCCTGAATCAGTCGTCGATCGGGATGTTGTAGTTAGAACGAGTCAATATTATACATATTAGTACGTATTATCCTTGTTTTGTGTACATATCATAAACATGATAAACAAATAAAAAAGAATAGTATGATAATTTTGAACTTTAAGTTCTAAATTCCAAACCCTTAAATCCATGATAAAGCATCTCAACAAACAAAAGACTGTTACTAATCTACAATACCTCAAATTCTTAATAAATCTTGGGGTTTTTAACAGTCCTAGCTCTGGCCCTATGTTGATCAGACACACAGCAGAGGGCCTCCAAATGATTTGGGCCTCACAATCAAGCTCATATATATATAAAGAAGAAGAATTGCACTGTGATTTGGAATGAGTTAACCTTGTGGCTTTTATTTTTTATTTGCTAAGCGTGTCAATGAGATCCTCCTATCATTTTTTTTTTGCAGGAACGTAATTGAAAATTTGGAGTCCTTGTATCATTTGACCTGTGGCCCTAATCATCTTTTTTGGCTTTATATATTATTTAATAATTTTTATTAAATTTTCAAAGAAAAAATTTAGATTTATATTTTTAATTTTCGAAGTATACCTCCAAATATCATGGACCGATTCTAATTTCTAAATTACGAAATCCTCATTTTTAAATACATAAAATAAATGACTTCTAAGTAGGCGAGCCAGTATCATAATAAAAAACCTGCGCGAGCCCGCTACGACTCCCACGTGCCATGTTAAGCGTCGTATTAACGCAGGACTCTCCACCATCCGCCGGATGGCTGAAAAATCCAACGGTCAGTATTCCATACCAAAATTTCTATATCTGAACCGAAAAGGAAAAACAAAAACAAAATTGTTGTTGAACTGGTTTTAGTTTACAAACCCTAGACCCTATCTGTCCATTGTTATGACCTATAAATAACGACGGAATTCTGTCGATTTTCTCTTATAACCACACTCTGTGCTCCTAGACGCGGCTCTTCTCTCTACCACAGTTTTCCTCATCGGAGTTGTCACGCCGTCGCCGCCATGTCTGACGAAGAGCATCAGTTTGAGTCCAAAGCTGACGCTGGAGCCTCCAAAACCTATCCCCAGCAGGCTGGAACCATTCGCAAGAATGGTTATATTGTCATCAAAAACCGTCCTTGCAAGGTATATCGGTTTCATCCACTTAATAGTTTCTTTTTAGGGATTCGAAGCATTAGATCTGTTTGGAGTTGCGGTAAACTAATCGGCGAGATCTCTTTTCCTTTTGCTTTCTGAATCGTTTGAATTGTTTGTCTTCAGGGGTCAGGGTTTCTAGTAGAATTATTTGTTTGATGGTTGAGGTTAATAATCTGGGATTGTATCTAATCGGTGATTAGATCAGTTGCAATAATGAACATTAGCTTCAAAGATTTGTTGTGTAGGGCATGGTACCTGATTTCTGTGATACGAAGTCCTGTATCCATTAGATCTTTATGGGCTTAACTGGTTAAGCGATGAGAATTTCCCCACTTTATGATAGGATTTGGCCTTTATTCATGGCAGGTTGGCTTGCCGTTTTACATTATACGAATTGAAATTGACTCTGTCCATCTAATTGTTTGTAGGTTGTTGAAGTTTCCACCTCCAAGACTGGCAAGCACGGTCATGCCAAGTGCCACTTTGTTGCAATTGATATCTTTAATGGCAAGAAGCTGGAAGATATTGTTCCCTCGTCCCATAACTGTGATGTAAGTCAACTGTCCATGGCCTTTTGTACCCATTTTCACCATCTTCTCAGGATTCGTTTTGTTCTTATTGTGCGGATGTTGCTTCCCCATGTAGGTTCCTCATGTGAACCGTGTTGATTACCAGCTGATTGACATCTCTGAGGATGGATTTGTAAGTGACTGTTCTTACTGTCCTTGCGTGGTGTACATGATTTATGCCTTTGGACCGCTGTCTTTGGCGACTTACATAATTGTGTCTGTTATGATTTTAGGTGAGCCTGTTGACTGATAATGGCAACACCAAGGATGACCTGAGGCTTCCCTCTGACGAGGCGCTTCTTACTCAGGTTTGTTGGCAATTACATTGGCATTGGAGCTTTCAAATTATTTAATTACAAAGTCAACCGTTCCAGCTAACTGGTTATCTAATGTTTCGAAATTGTTTTTCCACCTTGATTGCCAGATCAAGGATGGATTTGGCGAGGGTAAAGACCTGGTTGTCAGTGTGATGGCGGCAATGGGAGAGGAGCAGATCTGCGCTCTTAAGGATGTTGGCCCCAAGTAAGAGTGCCAATGAGAGGACATTGTGGGTAGGGGAAGTGCAGGGGAGGGGAGTTAATTGTAGTCTAGCAACGGGTCTCGTTGTTGCTTTCTTTTCTTTTTGCCCTTTTATTGTTGAGTTCTGTTCTTATGTGTGGGTCGAGGAACGTGTACGCATTTCAGTAGCAGATTTTGAGATGTGCTCTTCACCTACGAGTCGCCCAGCATTATTAGCAGGTTTGGTGGTTCAGAGAAGTGCAGGACCAGGATTTTTCTGGGTTGTGCTTGTTCGTACCGTTTTACTTTGTATTAGACGGGTTTGCATACAGTTCACATGGTTGGTGTTATAGATTTGTCAATTTTTGTGACTTTTTATTGTGTTGGCTCTTGTATGAGATGATGGTTTCTGGTTTCTGTTGGATGTTGAATGTAAAAGTAGTGCAAGGCCAGTAATTCGTTTCTGTTGGATGTTGATGGCAGAGTGAAGTTTCGCCAACCCCCTTGGCTTACTCCCTAATCTTTGGGTTCTCCCTGCCCCTACCTGATTTTCATTCTCGATGGATAAAAAGATGCAAATGAATCGCTTTCCCCTAGGAGTTTGCTTGTCAGAAGTCTGGAAGATAGAGCAGCTGGAGATGTGTATAGTAGAGATGCTCTCCAGAATCTGCCCTAAAATGCCATTATATATAACAATGAAAGAACAGATAAGCTTGTGAAAAACCGTATACCGTGCTTCTGAAACCCGCTGGAATAGATCAGGACAGATTTTACCAATTGACATAAACAATTGTTCAATGGTTTAAAAGAAAGGATTTATCTCTCTAGCTGAAAATAGTCTGTTGTCAATCCGTTTGAAGAAGTTGAACAATAATGCTTTCCCTTTCATACTTCTATAGACGTCAACATGGTATCAGAGTTGAGCTTAGTTGATCAATGTTGTGCTGGTTTGCCAGCAAATTTTATGACTGTTCCAAGCCAGTCATCGGGTATGCTTCCCCTCCTTATTTCTCCACTTAGAGCTCTTTGGGAGTGGCTCGTTGCAGCCTGTTTGTGAAACAAAACCAATTATCAGCAACAGACAGCATATTCATCACCATTCACCAGAGATGAGGCAAGGAAGAGATTGTGAGGTGTACAGGGATACAGCAGTATTACCTTTACAATGTAGACGTCAATGCCTAGTTTCGCAATCATGGCTGCTTCTGCTATCTTGGTCACCATCCCTCCTGTTGTGTCGTGTGCAGCTACAGTTATTTCAACTGTCCAACCACAAAGATAAATTGCACATTTCAGTAAATAATCACTGAACGGGCAGGACAAATTTGGTAACAGGTACATTTGATTTGAAACCTGGCTTGTTTGTGCTTCCATAGTTCGGTTTCACGACAGACCAGCTCCCTTCCTCAGTCACAGCTGCAAGGGTGGTTGCACAAGTTGGTTAGTTCTTTCTAACCCATGCCATTTCTACATTCAGAGTCCACTTAACTGTAAATGTAGTAACACGCACCAATCTCCCTCAACAACACTGCCTCAGGTTCTGATGGTGGGCGATCATAAACGCCGAAAACATCTGTCTTTAATAAGCAGTCATGGGATAAACTAGAAAAAAAAGTTGTGTAGCTGTAGGAAGCCATGCAAATGCTGTCTTGAAAAAAGGATACCAGGAAAATGACGTATTCGGGTTTCAGGTAGGCTGCAAGATGTTTTATTATCACATCGCCACTCAAAATGGTACAACCCTTGTTATGAAACCACAATTGAAGGAGATGATGAGTCAGCAGTAAGTTGATGCACAAGTGTCTTTTCAATCTTATTATCCAGATTTTCACAGAAGAAACTGACCAGTTGACTATCAAGGACGGCATCTCCATGCAAAACCTAAGAAGCAGGCAACCAAAGCGAAGACACTGATTTGCTACATTTCTCAATGGGATATAATACAAGTACAAAGGTCATGTTACAGAGTAATAATCTCCAAGTTCCACAGCACAAGTTGTATTCAGGTTTATGTTTTCGCACAAGTAATGGGCCTTGTTCCAGGCTTGTAAGAGATTTTTCTGGGTGGCCACATGAATTACTTCCTTTACAAGCCAGATTTCAGCACCCAATTCTGGGATGTATAATTTTTTCTTTTTTGTTTTTGACAATTCTGGGATGTAGAGTTAAGGTATCCTTACCGGCACAAATCCTGACTCAATCGCTTTAACAACCATTGACAGATCAGCTGATTCTAGCTGCAGTAAAACAATAATCCAGACTCAGATGGGAGTTACTGCAAATGTTCAATGAGGCTGAAGTGGAGACTGAAATAATTGATGAACATCAAGAGCATATTAAGCCTCTAACATTTCTTTCAGATGTTAGCCATCCACATGAGAACGGAGACATGCCAACTGACGGGATACCAGCTGCAAAAACAAAGAACCATTTTCAGTGACACTCCACATTGACAAACGAGAATCGAAAAAGGGAAGGGTTCAGGTAATGCTGCTAGTATCAGCCTCAAATATGAGTCATAGTTTAGCAAAGTCGTACCTGCAGCTAGTGCTCGAACAATTTCAAGATTCAGATTAGTAACCTGAAATGGCACACGAAGAAATGAATTCGAAATTACAGCTGCATGAAGACAATAATTAGTTAAAAAAGTAATCGAACCTACAACATTCCCAGACAAAAGTTGCTTAGAGATACGAAACTAAATATGCCTCTTTTCTTCTTTTACATTTCATGGATGTTACATTGATGCAACAAACTAATACTATTGAAGCCCATGTTAAACTTTCAAAATAGATACAAATAATATAATGCTAATATTGCCTTCATTATTGTGTTACTTATTCCTCCTCCATTCTAGTTCCACTAAATGGGAACACATAACACAAATCTTCCTTTTCGACTTTTAAGGTGATCATACTTCAGCTCAGCAGCAGTTCAAGTTTTGGAATTCCAACTGAGAACTCGGAGCGGGGATGAACTGAAGAGAAGACAAGTGCAGCAGAATCTTACTGAAATCCGAGTGGCTACGAATCCAGCCTTAACTAGAGATTTATCTAATCCGCCTTTATGGACTCCTGATTTGCTGGCTTGAAAATGACCAAAAGAGCCTGAAAAAGCCAAGACACAAGGTTGCAGCATTAGCTAAGTCGCTACTCGCAGGTCTTGTTTCAACCTGACAGCGCTTTACGAAAACCAGAACACACAAGTGCGTGAAAAGGAACAACCTGCTCCATGGACAACTACAAAGTTACTTGAATCACAAGAAATTTGATCATCGAAACCACCCACATCACAACAAAGTTCAGATTCCCCAGGCCGCTTGCTCCAATCCATCCCAAGAATCTTCTGGGAGTCAGGCCCAGAAGACATTGCTTGCCTTAACTGGGAAGAAACAGTCCCTAGATTCTCTTCATTAATCTTCTCTAGCTCATTCTTGCAAGTAATTGCTGCACCTCCTGCACCCCTCATAGATGAATACACTATTAGACATCACATTTATTTGAGCTTCTTAACTTCTCTGTATTGATCATTGTTCATAAAAGCCCTAACACGAATCTATTTAAAGAAGTGTGAATCGCCCATCGTCAAGTCCAAAGACTAGATTTTGACTGGAGAATCACGAATCTGATATACAAGACGAAAGCTAGAAATCAACATAAAGAGAGATGGAAGGAAGAACGGAGACCGAGTTTGACGATGCAGCGAATTGGCCTGGTCAGACCTTGACATGCGCCAGAGTTCTCCATTCCTGTGTTGGTGGACTTCGGTTCGGGTACCGCGCAAAGGTTAAGAACGTTGTGGGGTTGAAGGAAGAAGATCCGTACAACTACAACTCTTACTTTCCGGCAGTCTGCACTGGAAGTGTGCGTAGTGATTCGAATGGCTGACTCGTCCACGGCACAGTGAGTCGGCTCGTTTTTCCCTGCTCGTTTCACATGTATTTTACCAATTGAATCGCTAAACGTTGCTTAATTTTACTATTATCGTCCTAAATTAAAACATACTATTACTAAATTACCCATTATCAATGACATCAAAAAGAAAAAAAAAAAAGAGGAGCTCTCTCCTCGAGCTCTGCCGCCTGGCCGGGCACCTTCTTCTCTCCCTATACGCGGTGGTGTTAGCGGCTACCCTTACCAATCAGGGTCAACAATGGCCGCACACAACCGGCATACCACGCACCAACAATAACGGTGATAAGAGCTCGCGTGGCGCTTTTGAGGGGGGGGGGGGGGGGCGAAGGGTCTGATGATCAGGGTTGAGCATAGAGCTCCGTTGGTCCCTCTCCCTTTAGACTGGGAATGGGATCTAGAAGAGATTACAAGGTTTCCCAAGAGATGTGGATAACGCATCGCCTCCTTCTCCAGCTAAACGAGTTCGGACCTCTAAGATGACCGCCTGGCGCTTTCGATTGCCATCGTCGAGTGAGGTGGATGGGGATGGAAAGGGTAATAACCTTCCTCCGCCAGTGTGAAATGGTATTAAAGGGGATGTGGTCAGAAATGGCGCACCTCCTCCGATTGAACTCAGACCTCGTGATGAGGCGAGTTTATCCAAGTCGAATAGTGAGATCCTAGTGTCGGACGTAATCCCCCTGACCTGGCCGCCGACGCCGGTGCTGATCTGGGAGCACTTACGAGTGTGCGTGCTAGACGACAAACGGTCTGGTCCAGCCTTTCCTCGATTTTCGGAATATCATAACGATATGGGTTGTTTACTCTCTCTCAGTATCCCTAAACGATGTGGCAAATCCAGGAAAAAAAATATTTAATCCTTTTTTAATTAAATCCCACAGAGTCCTAACCCTAAAGGGTCAGTTGCTGTCGCAGGGGTTCTTTGGCTCAGCCTTCTATTTAATACTTTGTCCTAGCTGTGATAGTACGTATGTATCACAAACACGAAGGCAGCTAGCGGCAGTACAAAGAAGAGCTCCCCCCCCCCTGCAGGCTCGAACTCGACTGTGGTAAGTGGGGTTTTGGTGTCTATACCCTTATCAGAAGACTGGGGTCGAGTGTTATCCCGATTAGAGTTTTCACTTACACATTTATCTGCTTCCCTTGGTCGGTTTTTGGCTATTCTTCTTGTTGCGTTGCTAGTGACCATTCTTTACATCTGGCGATGCAGTAAAACACCATGTCACACGCCACCAAGGATCATGTTATGGAGTTCTCCTTGGAGGAAATCCACTCGACGAAGATACTCAAGTCCCGGACGTTGTTGGGTCGGCTCTTCACTAAGAACATGATCTCCCCAATGGAGCTGCGAGACTCGGTTAACAACCCATGGAAAGGGCATTGTAGAATTCGAGTACGACTGGTGGCTCACGGGCTCTATGAGTTTGTTCTCCCGACGGCAGCTGCTAAAACCTGGGTACTCGAGCGAACGCCATGGGTGATCAGAGACAAAATCCTTCACCTGAGGACATGGACTCCGTCAATCAACAAACACACTTTTGATGAGCTCACGATAGCTCCATTCAAAGTCCAACTATGGGAGGTGCAAGAAGATTGTTGTACCCATCATTTTGGTAGGAAAGTGGCGAATGCCACTCTTGGACGGGTGCTCGAAGCTGGCGTGATTTCCTGTACGGAAACGACTCAACTCTTCATCAAAGTGAAGGTTCTGATTGATTTTTCCAAGCCGTTGAGTTCGCAGATTATGGCTATCAATGAAGAGACTGGTAACTTTTGGATACGCCTGAAGTATGAATATCTATCGAGCTTCTGTTTTCACTATGGACGGGTCGACCATTCCCCCCAAGCTTGTGCCTTTGACCCCCTACCGGGAAAGAGAGGTTTGGTCAACACATGCCGACCAAGAAATTGGGTCGAAAAGTCTATGATGATGAGGAGGCACCTCGCCGTTTTCCTAATTGATTGATTTGGATTAACAAGGAGCTTCAGGGGAGGGCGACCGCTGATCCCACGACTACTCTTAGGTTGGTTACTGTGGCGAGATGTAGTATTGATCTGAGGAAACAACCAGCTATCGAGGAGAGCCCTTGATGGATGGGCGCTTTTGATAATCCCTTCATGGAGGTCGAACCAAATAGCCGTCGGAGGGGTCTGAGTCCCTTCCAAGTTCCTGTCTCGAAAGCTCCCAAAATCATTGTTGGGAAGCATTACCCCCAAGGCTACAAGAAAGCTGCAGCTGGTCCCAAACCTTCGCCTAGACATTGAGGACGCAAGGCGGTGCTAGCAGCTGAGGGTTGAGGTTCACCGCAGGTTGTGTAGTGGGAGGGTGATGCTAATCATCGTGTGGGGCAGGCTCGTGGGTAGGGTTGGAAGTTTGGTACCGGTATTTGGGATATATCGAATATCATACAGAATTTGCCTATATTTGGTATTACGGAATACACATATTATTTCGTGGGATTGGAATTGGGATTGAGTTTCAATTGTTATTCGGTATTAGGGATTACGGGATTGGGATTAATATATACCGAAATACCGATCAATACCGAAATATAAGTTAGTGTGTATTTTATCCTCTCAACCAGACTCTCTCATTCACTACTACGCGACCCTCAACCACCAAGAGTTTCATTTAATTATACAATCATTACATCACTATTTCACACTAGTATTAGTCGTCTCTCAACCTCAAATTCATCAAATTAAAGATTACCAATTACAAAAACTTGAGATGTTAGCTCTAGGCAACTCAAGACTCTTTGCTTAGTCTCTTTGCCCTAAATAAAACAATAAAATCTAATTTATATATTTAATTATTAATTGCAAAGTTTGTATTTGATAATACCGATTGGGATACCGAAATTATTTAGGGATTGGGATCAGAATTGATTTCAGGGTGTAATTCGGTATTTGGGATTTCGGTACCGTACCGATTTCCACCCCTACTCGTGGGGGATACAAGCAAAATCGAGCTCCCCCCACTCTAGAGGATCCGGTGCCTCATAAGAAGGAGAAGGAGACATCTCAGAGGCGTCGGCTGATCCTGGAAGAGGAATCCGAGGATGAATTCCAAGTGGCTGATATATCCATGCAGCCTCGCAAAGCCCATCCGCAAAACATGATCGATGGGAAAAAGAAGGGTCAGTGGAAAGGGGATAATTCCCCTAATACTTTGCATGATGAGGAGGCAAACTGCCGGCTACGGAAATCTCCTGTTCTAGCTGCGGCAGAGCCTGCATGAAAGGTGGCTGGTAATGCTAGGGCCTCGTGCAACCATGATCTTCCCAAAGTTTCAAGCTTGACCCCAGCCCAGCGGCGGACCTAAGGCATTGCAGGGTGTGTCGTCCGACACACCCTCGCTCGAGAATTTTACGAAGGATCTACATATTTTTGGTACAAAATTTTTTACTTCGGGATAGCCGACACACTCTCAATAATTATAGCCGACACACCTTCATTATAGTCGAAGAAATTATTATCCAAATGAATCAATCTTAATCATAATCCTTTTTAATTTTGTTTAAAATAACTCATAAAGCATAATCTTATCCTTCCTATTAAAAAAAAACACTCTTACCCATACAATATACATGTTTGATGAGTGTTGGGTCTGAGCCTTTAATTAAATGAGAAAAGAACCCACAGGCCAAAAGCCTAGTCGGCCACTAGCCCACTACCTCCCCATTATTATTCCTTCCCTCCCCATCCCCAATTAATGGCCCAATGCCATTATAGATTTGTTCTATGCATTACTATCAAGTCGATTTATTCTATGCAGTTATAGATTTGCAGCTGCAAGAATTGAATACTCGATTTGGTGAGGTGAACACTCGATTGTTGGACTGCATTTCTTGTTTTAGTCCAGCTAACTCTTTTGCTTCTTTTGATAGAGCAAAGTTGATGAGTCTTACTGAGTTTTATCCCGAGGAGTTTCCATCCAATGTGCTCTCACGACTTCATCAACAATTGGGGGGCTACATTTCTCATGTCAAGGAGGATAAGAGCTTTGATGAATTGCGAGGAATCGACGAGCTAGCTAGGAAATTGGTGGAAAGGGGAAAGGACACTCTTTATCCTTTAGTTTACTTGCTGTTAAAGTTGGTGTTGACCTTACCTGTGGCAACTGCAAGCTGCGAAAGAGCATTTTCAGCTATGAAGATAATCAAGAACGATCTTCGAAATCGGTTGAGTGACCAATTTATGAATGATTGTTTAGTTGTGTATATTGAAAAAGATTTGCTTTGCAGCATAAGTGATGAATGTATTTTAGAGACATTTCAACAGATGAAAAGTCGTCGTGGTTCGTTGTAAACATGACATTGTGAACTTTATGAATTAATTTCTTTTGATTTTAACTTAATTTTTAATTTAATTTAATTATTATTTTATTTTATCGGCGACACACCTCTCCGACAATCCTGGGTCCGCCACTGCCCCAGCCAAAAGGGATGTTAGCCCGCTGGGCACTGATCCCATCACTGGACTGTCAGATCTGTTGGATTCAGAGGTCAAGCTATTGGAGGATGATATCCACCTTTTCGAGCTGAAAAGTCGCGCTTTGAATGGTAAAAAATAGTTGCGTCGGCGTACTCAGGCAGGTCGGCTGCACCCAGTGGTTCAGGATTTCGAGGTTGGGATAAGCATGAAAGATGCTGCTATTGGGTCAAGCCCGCGGAAACCTAGGGCGCGGGAGGTTAGAGAGAGGCAGGAGGCAGCGGATGGTGAACATGTCCATTTGTCCTTGGATGAATATGGGTCTAATTTGGCTGATCCTATGGGTGGGGGTACCAAACGATTGCGTGATGATCTTGATGGCGGCATTGAGGCTGCCCCTACACCAAAAAAACAATGCTTGGAAGAACTTGATGGAATGGAGAAGGTGGAGGAAGCCATCCTTGAGTGGCCCCAATCGAATAAATGAGGCTACTAGCCTAGAATGTGAGGGGAATTGGACCATCACTCACATTCCAAATTGTTGTTGGTTTGGTTCATTCCAATAAACCGGATCTTGTGTTTTTTTCCGAAAAATGATCGACCCCGCGAGTAGTGTCCCATCGTATGCGCGACTTAGGGTTTGATCGTTCTTATTGTTTCTTTGTTGATGCGATTGACGCATCTGGTGGGTTAGTAGTAGCTTGGTCCCCCGGGGTAGATGCCTCGGTGTTTTTTACTCCAAATTCTGTATTTGCACCCAAATTAATGAAGTTTATTTTTATTACGTTGTGATTTCAGTTTACATTAGTTGTAATGTTGCAATAAGAGCCACCCAATATGCTCAACTAAGGGAGATTTGTGATGCCATCCAAATCCCTTGGGTATCAGGGTGACCATTTCACTTGGACAAACAGACGAATGGGTGCGGCTTGTATGCATGAGAGACTGGACAGAGCATTGTGTTCTCAGAGTTGGATTGATTGATACCCTGACACCCTAGTCAAACATTTCACGGATCAAGGGTCTGATCATCGGGCTCTCCTCCTATATGATAAGCCTTATACCCGAAATACTCGCCCTCTATTCAGATTTGATGCTCGTTGGGATGATAACCTAGAGGTCAAGGCGATGGTCCACTACGTCTGGCAGGAGGATATTCAGGGTACTCCGATGTTCCAACTTTGGGAATGACTTAAGAAACTTCGCCATCTTCTCTATGACTGGAGTAGGGCGGGTACTACGAATTCTCTGCGTAATATTAGAATTCTCCAGGCTGAAATCGATCGGATAAAATCAATACACCCTATTGAATGGGATGAGATCCAGCTCCTGGAAATAGAGTTAAATCTCCAATGGGAGGTTGAGGAAATCTATTGGCAGCAGAAGTTTAGAGTCCGATGGTTGAAAAAAGGGGATAAGAATACCTCATATTTCCATACAGTTACGCGGACACGGCGCAAACGAAATTTTGTGGTTGGCCTTTCTAATGACAGTGGTGACTGGATCACTGAGGAAAATGGGAAGGCAGACATTGCCAGTGTTTTTTATCAAACTCTTTTCACCTCGGAGAATTCAGGTGCAGAACATGGTTGAACGGGTGGCTAATCTCCCTCTTGCCCATAACATTACTCCAGAAATGAATGCCAGTCTTACGGCTGCAGTCCTTCCTAGTGAAGTGAGAAAAACGGTTTTCTCTATGGGCTCCAAGCAGGCGCCAGGTTCTGATGGGTTCACTGGAAAATTATTTAAAGTGTTTTGGAATATTGTTGGGAACTCGGTGATTGATGTTGTCTGCTCGTTCTTCACGACGAGTAGGATGCTCCGTAGTTTCAACCATACTTGGCTAACATTGATCCGCAAAGTGGATAATGTGGAAACCATGACACAACTTCATCCAATAAGTTTATGCCAGTTTGTGTACAAAATTATAACAAAAATCATGGCTAAGAGACTGGCTTGTCTGCTGCTGCAAATAGTCTCGGAAGGGCAAAATGCTTTTATCTGTGAGCGCCAAATAGTTGAGAATATCCTCCTGGGACATGAGTTAATGCATTATCTAAAAATCAATACGCAAGGAAAGAAAGGGCACATGGCTCTGAAGGTTGACATGAAAAAGGCCAATGATAGAGTCGAATGGCTATTTCTCCTTGATGTTTTGGAAAAGATGGGTTTTAACTCAACCTGGTGTAGGTGGATTCGTGAATGCCTTAGATCCGCTTCATTTTCGGTTCTAATGAATGGCAGCCCGTCGGGTTACTTCACGCCGTCCAGAGGACTGCGGCAATGGGATCCTCTGTCTACCTTGTTATTTGTGCTCTGCACGGAGGGGTTTGCTGCTCTTCTTCAAAAGGCCATCTCGGAACGAAAACTGGAAGGAGTTACAGTGGCTCCGCGATCTCCCCGCATCTCGCACCTCTTCTTTGCTGATGATTCTTATTTATATCTTAGAGGTACTCTCCAGGAATGTGAGCCTGATCGAAGTGCAGAATGAGTATGAAGAGCTTAGTGGCCAGAGGGTAAAATTGGCTAAGTTTGCAGTATGTTTTAGTAAGAAAATTTCCCTGCAAGACTAGGAGTTCTTGGCCCAGATTCTGGGTGTCGGGGCGGTTGGTGTCCAAGATAAATATTTAGGATTGCCTACGCTGATAGCCCGATCTAAGTTAGCTACATTTCGCTATTTAGAAGAGAAGTTGTTGGAGCACCTTCAGGGGTGGAAACAAAGGAAATTGTCTAGGGCAGCTAAGGAGACCTTGATTAAGTCGGTTGCTTTAGCTTTGCCATTGCATGTAATGTCCTGTTTTAAGTTACCACTATCTCTGTGTCAGCTCTTGGATAAGCATGTGGCTCGGTTCTGGTGGGGTGTTAAGGAGGGCCAGTCAAGGATTCGGTGGATGTCCTGGCGTAATATGTGCAAAAGTAAGCACGACGGGGGTATGGGGTTTCGCCGGTTCGAGCACTTTAATCAAGCTCTTTTAGCTAAAATTGGCTGGCGTATCCTTATTGACCGACTTCCCTCTTAATCCAGGTCTATAAAGGAAAGTACTTTCCTAATGGAACCTTCATCTCTGCCACGACGCGCTCACGCCCATCTTGGGTCTGGCAAAGTGTCCTTTATGGGAGACAATTGTTAGAGGTGGGTACTCGATGGCAGATTGGTAATGGTCAAACGACTTCTTTGCTTCATTCCAGCTGGATTGCACGTGTTCACCCTTCTCCCCCAATCTTAAATCCCAGGTCTTACTAGAAGGGGGTGACCCTTCGGTGGCAGAAGTTATCTGTGCAGGGGAAGGGCAGTGGTGTGATTCTAAACTTAGGCAGTGGTTTAACCCGCCAACTTGTCGGGCAATTAAAGATGTTCCTCTCCCACATTAGGATGTGGCGGATAGACTAATCTGGAGTGACACGGCGTGCGGGGTATTCACTGTTAAGTCGGCCTATCATCTCGCTGTCTTGTTGGATAAAAGGAGAGGTCAGTGGAGATCTATGGCGAGTTGGATGGACAGGTCCAGTTGGATTCGTTTGTGGGAAGCTAATATCCCGACAAAGTTAATGGTGTTTGTTTTGCAAATCCTTAACCATATACTACCCACCATGGAGGTTCTAATTGAGAAGGGTGTCCCGGTGCTGCATCGCTGTCCGGTTTGTTGGGCAGAGTATGAAACAATGAAACACTTGTTTCTTTACTTCCCGGTGGCCTGCGCTCTATGGGACTATTCGGGGCTTGAGTATCTTGGCCAAGGATTGCCTCGTCACACTTTCCTACTTTTTTTTCAAAATGTTGATGTCTCTTATTCATCAACCAACTCTGTTTATGGAGGTTGTTTCTGCCCTTTGGAGGATCTGGCGATCTCGTAACTGGGTTGTCTTTGAGGGGGAAAGCATTTTGGGATCCCTGCCTTGATGCGACAGTTTCACCAGCAGGTTGAGGAATGGATTCGTTTGCCGATAGACCCAGTACTTCAGCCTTTCGCACCTGCGTCCACTCACTTGAGTTCTGGGGGGTCTAGTTCGGTGGTGTGCATGTGGGACGGGGCTACCCGGATTGGGTCTCACGCGGCAGGAGGAATGGTGCTAATGACCCCATCTAGAGAGATGCTTTGAGCTAAAGGGGTTCAGTTTCCAAGTATAGATGACCCTATGGTGGTTGAATTGCTTGTCTCGCGAGAGTCTATTTGTTGGTGTCTAGGCCAGGGCTTCACGGAAGTTAACATTGAGCGGGATGCCAAAGTCATCATTGACAAGGTCAATCAGGCGGAAACCAGGAATAACCAGATGGGGGCTGTGCTGGAAGAAATTGTGCTTTCTTTGGCCATTCACTCCGGTTTTAATGTACGTTTTGTAGGTCGGCGTAACAATAGGGTAGCCCCCTTGGTGGCTAGAAAGACCCTATGTTTGTCTCCGACTATGAGTCGTGTATTTGATTTCCAGGCCTGGCTGAACCCAGGATGTAACTATCTTTCTTGTGAATCAATATATGATTATCTTTTGTAAAAAAAAAAGGTTAAATACACTTGTATATCCAAAACTTTCACGGTTGTGCCAATAATATCCAAATTTTCCGAAATACCACTTATATCCAATTCCTTCACATTATTTAACGGTATTTTTGGATATACAAGTGTATTTAACCAAAAATATATTGGGAAATAGATAGATTTGGCAAAGAACAACTTTAAAACATGGATATAAGTGATATTTCGGGAAATTTGGATATTATTGGCACAATCGTGAAAGTTTTGGATATACAAGTGTATTAAACAAAAAAAAAACCCATTATCAATCAAACAAAAATTAACAATAAAATCACAAATCTTCGTCTAAGAGAGCAGTTCAAGGATCCTCCACCGGCGCAATCCCGGTACTCCAATCAAACTCTGCCGCCGACCACCTACACTCCCAACAGATTTTAGACTCTAGAATTCCCGAGACCATTGATAATAAGTACTAAAGTGTGAGTGTTTGATTGGGGATCCTTGTTGGGAATGAATAGCTTTGAAAGCTATTTTCAATTAATTATCGAATATTCTTTTTAGATACGAAAATAAGAAGGATAATTAATAAAATGAATATTCTGGAGATAATAAATCCGGGTTAATTATCTCAACAGAATGCGTTTTAGTTATGAGAGTAATTATCTTTCTAATTAAACATAACTTATCATCCACGAAAAAGGGAAATTCTGTGTTTTCTACTGCTATAAATAGAGGACTACCCAGACCCTGTAAACACACAATTCGAAGAGCAGAAACACGAGAGAGAGTAAAATTCAAAGAGCTCCGGTTTTCGCACAAAACTGACGAGCAACAAATAAGAGTGACTGTTTTATCATGGAAATGACCGGCTGATAGTCTAATGTGCGCATAACGAGGTAGTGTCGCGAACGTTTTAAAGAGAGCGACGTAGTCTGCGACTCAGCCAGATCGGTAACCTTAGTTTTTTCTGTTCGGTTTCTAACAATTTTAAGATGCTTTGGTTGCTATCATGTGTTCTGAACAGATTGATTACCGAATCTAGCCTCAACAAGATTCAATTCAAGAAATATGAAACTAATCTTTGTTGGCAAAATGATTTGCGCCGCACGAGGAAGGACAAGCAAAAGCTCCAGCAGGTTGCGACGAGATACGAGAGATACGGCTGGGCAGCGGTGGATCTAGAACAGAGTAGAGCATTGGGCCACATTTCATTAGAAAATTAGATAGCATAAAAAATCATAGTTTTTTTTACAATATCAATCGTACACGTCGATCTTTTAAATTTTAACATAGTGAATTCATCATAAATAACAGAGTCTACATCCATACCAATAACATACTCTCTTTAAGATAAAATAGTTAACCAATTGGCGAGAAATTCATCGCTCTTTTTGTTGCGCAAATAATTTTTCACCTATTTTATTGTTGAAATGGTTCTCTCCATAGTAGTTGTTGAAACGAGCAATGTCAACACTCGACAAATTAATCGACTAATCACCGGCTGCGGCTGGGAGACTGCCGCTGTGCTGCTGGCGGATAGTTTAGAAGAAGAACTAGGATGTTGTCGGTTCTCACAAGCAGCAGATTTAATTGCGAAGCGAAGCTACGTAATTCAGGAGAATTGCGGCCCTGACGTGGAAAGTTTTGCTCGACACAAGTTTTTGTACGACATAAGTAAATTGAGGCCTAGCGCCTAAGCCTCACAAACAAACGTAACAAAAGGGAAGCTCCTGTCCAATTAATTATTCCCTCAATTTTGGGTCTTCAATTCTGACTTGGGAGAATTAATTAGTGCTCTTGTCAAATTAATTGTTCTTGTGTAATTAATTGCTTTTGTCCATGATCATAAGGAAAGCTTCAGTGTTGCGGTTGGTAGAGTCCTAAAGGGAAAGAAAGCTTTTTCTTGATGATGGAGATTCTGTGGATGCCGAGCCAGGATGAAGATGAAGTGATCGACAAAAGCTCCCAACTAATAAACGATTGGTCGACGGAGGAATAATCGAACACTTCAAAGCCGATGGAGGGTTGCAGCTTCCTTCCGGATGTGGGCGAACTACGAAGGAAAAGCTAAGTGATATTAATTTGCTATTAATTACGCGAGCCGGGGGGAGGGGTTATAGCTTTCTCGTTGACTTAATTCCCTTCATGAGAGGGGCTGTCTTTTAATCCATTGAAGCAGTTGTTAGGTCACTTGTACCGAGGAAGAGCAGGAATTATATACGAGTTCTCCTTTGGATCCTAAAGCAATGGATGAGGTGAAGCTTTGTGAGATGGGCTGCTCACTATCGACAAGGTTGAGGGAAGTTGAACTACATTGTGGATGTGGTCGGTTGATTAGAGTACAACTTTGTATACATGTTTTAAAGAGTGATTTTGATTACATGAATGCATACTATGAAGCATATATAAATGCATATTATGTGGTATATATGTTAGTGGAATGGGTTGTACGCTCATATTTATTTTGGAAGAAGTACTGTTGTTAGTACTAAGTGAACCATTCTGCGACTTTCAACTCTAAAAGGTCTGATAGGTCAAAAGCGTATGCCTTAATCCTATCTTGTAGTAAAACCGGAAAGTCCGGGTATCGTCTCTCAGGGACTGGTACAACCTTAAGTTCTATCAATTTTTATTGAGCAAACTATATGTGAAAATGTTTAATGAGATGAAACTATGATCTACTAGCAAAGTAATTAAACAAAACAAGCAAATTAAAATGTCGGGTTTAATTCAATGGGAGAAAGCTCTAGGAGAAACACCGGGATTCACTACCTATCCTATCCAGATTAATTCACACATTCCAATTAATTTAATCCAACTCACTACAGCCAGGATATCACTACTGTGCTAGCTATCCCTGTCGGGAATTACTACGTACTAAACAATTAAATCAAATCCTACTGTCGTAGCTCAATGAGGTAATTATTTAGTCTGAAGAACGATATCCCAATCAAGACCGCATAGTACCTTATTTAATCCACTATCGCTTCGATAAGTTACTATGTCACATGAAATAGGCTTAGTTATTAGGGTTTCACTGTCGCTAATAACCTAATTAACTACAAATCGATGTATTGGTGGCCAGTCAACACAAAGCATTAAGTAATTTCATGCAATAGAGATTGGAAGAAAAGAAATACGAATCAATCCATCAAATCTAGAAATAGCTACATCCTATGGTGTTTCCCCCATAAATTGGGGTTTAGTTCATGATGAAATTAAGATAAAACATTAGGGTTTTGATCATCATGTTCTAAATCAACAATAAACAACTAGTTCGGTCTAGAAAATCCAACCAAAGTAATCGCTCTTGTTGAATTCAGCTCTCGGGAGAAATCGATTCGCCAATTACCACGCTGCTTTCCGCTCGTCCTCTCCGTGCGCTGCGCCCTGCTTTTTCCCCAAAGAGTTTCCGTGCCCAGCTCTCGTTGTTCTTTTCCTTTCTATCGTCCCTCTCATAATGTTCCGCCCACAATTCTAAGTCCCCCCAATAATAATAATTCCGCCTCCTCCCAGAGATTCCCTCTCGTCCAAAAAGAGCCAGCCCAATCCAAACCTTCAGCCCACTCCAATTAATTGCCTCCAAGCCCTCCTGTCCAATTCCGCCCAGCTCCCCCCAATAATTGCCTTCCGATTTAATTCCTCTGTACTCTCAGGCCCAATTGCTTTTTCGTGTTTTCTCCACCTGTAACATATCAAACTCATGGCACTAGGCAGTAATGGTTTTTCAACCATTCCCGGGTTAGCGAGCCCTAAAATAGCACCAATCGGCTAAAATAGATCATAGGATAGTCACATAAAGTTCAAGAATCCGATATACTAAAGCCGATTATCACAACCCCACACTCAATTGTTGCTTGTCCCTAAGCAACGACTCAAATGACACAAACACATAACCAACCATAACAATGACACACGACAGACTCACTAATCAAACACTCAAACAAAACAAAATTTTCCTTGTACTCTTGTTGTAATCAGTAGTTTCTTTCTCAAGTGACAAGTTGTGCTTTAATGATCATACATTTCACCCCACACTCAAGTTCTTTGCAACCATTACCCATAGACTGACTCAAATCCATCAAAAACTCAAATAGCAACACTCAATTTCGATCGTCGGTAGTGGGTGGTTAACAACTTATGGTGCAACAATTATTAGGAGAATCTAACCACATCAGTGAGGTGCATATCTCGTGAGGACAATCTGGCTTACTCACACCAATCATAAGCAATTAACAAAGCATGAGTCTCAAAAACTAATGGGGGAAGCCTTTCACAAACAAGATTTTAACTTTAAGCACATCACTACCTTTTATGACAAGGAGAGGCTTTCTCACTTACTACTTTTGCTTGCCGAGAGGTCGTATTTAGTACAAGTGGGATTTGTTTCTTACTACCGGTGACCGAGCAAGAGCAATTTCTACTTCTTAGCACTCGCATAAGGGCTTCTTTCAACTCCTTTTCCTCGGTCCGTGTGGAGGGTCATTGCATCCTCAAATGGCACTTCACTCAACTGGGGATCGTACTTGATAAGCAACATCGTACGGTCGCGAACCGATTCTCAATTGAATCTTTCCTAATCCTCATGTGCAATGAGTGATTGCCTCACACAATTTTGGCATTTTTACCCACACTTTAATTGTTATGGCAACTTTCTTATATTTTACTTGTCAGGTAGTGTTTTCTCATTTTATGAAGATACAGTTCACCCCATCATAAAACCATCAAAACAGAGAGACTCGTTGCAAAATAAAAAGCTCACAATTGATGCAAGTAAGTACGGTATCCAAACATGTCGAATGGTCAATGTTCTCCACCTAACTACTTCACCAAAAGTCATTACACTATCCTCACAAAAGAGAATGTTGCTAAAAGAGTTTGCTCATTCAAAGCATATCAAGTCAGTCAAAACATTCAAGCTCATCGTGAAGAACTTTGCAATTCAACACTAGTGGGGTGATTTTGATGATTTCACTCAAGCACAAACTCATTTCACACACATCACAGTCATTTACAT